CCTTTCTATCAAAAAGTAGATGAATAAATATTATTACAGAATCTGGTGATCATGAACACATAGGGAAACTAGAAATGAGAAAAGCGACGACTATTTTCAAACTGAAAATGTTGAAAAACGAGATTAATAGAGTAACATATTTAACTGTAAGATGCTATTCGAATTCATGTTGTAGTTATCAATGAGACTAACGGCTTGCCCACGTAACGCGACACTTCGCTGATCAAATTTCGAAAAACGTTTTTTTTTTAGTTGGACAAATCTGAATGAGTTACTAGATGTAGTTTTTAACGCTGATTACGAATTTGACATTTATTTTGTAAAAAAGTTAGGTTTTAGAATCGAAAACTGGATTTTCAACTTGTGAAAAATCATATTTTAAATTTTTTAACTAAACCAAATTTTGAAAAAATATTGAGAGACATACCATTCGATGCAGAATTTAATTCTCTACAAAATGACCTATTTTATTTTGACTTTCATAAGTAAAGACAAATTGTAGACCCCAACACAGTTTTCAACTTAGTGTCCGGTTTACGAGATCTCGGATCGATGTATCAATCTCATTCTTATATAGAAGATTATCTACACGGAAATTAGTAACATTTGTAAAAAGCAAACCATTCTAAACATGTTAAGTGCCTCGAAACTGGTCCACAAAAACTGTGTAACAGCGTTACGTTTGTATTTTGCATTTTTCATCTGAGCAAAAATGCTTTAGGAAAAATCTTTTTTACTGCCTAAAAGCTTGTTCGATGCTGTACATAACTGACTCTGGAAAGTTTTCATTTGGAGAAATAGTTTCGCTAGAAATTAGATTTTTCTCGGCGGTACTGGAAAAAAAGGGTCTTTTTATGTAACAGCGTTACACGATAATAAAACCTTTCTAGACGTTCGAGACTTCAGCCGAAAAAGATCGTTCTTATATTATAAACAGAGTTTGATAAGCTGTGTCGAATAGCGTCTGAATGAACTTTCTAGCTGTTAAACCTTCCGAGTTAATTGAAGAACAATGTGTCAAAAACGTAACAGCGTTACGGTTGGACCAGCCGCTAAACGCAACTAAGAAAACCCTAGCGTGACTCGCGACTAGTAGCAAATTTAGACAGAAGAACAACGAAGTAATCGTTCCTTTTGTCAGAATCTTTACCGTCAACAACGAACAAAAACCTAGTTTGTACCAGATCGAATGGGCCTTCAAATTCATTTTTACTCATCGCTCCATCTCTCCCAGAAACCTAAATTCACCATTGTTCGTGGTCATACCCTGTGGGTCAAGTGTTAGGACTCCTTTAGTAAATTTCGTGTGTATCCGTAGATATATTCATCAGGAATGTTGGATTGTGAATTTTACGTTTGCAGTTTTGTTCTTACACAAGTCTGGTAGTTCGTATAGCTCCCTGAAAATATTAACTACAACTTTAATGTTCTTTTGTTGTGATGTTCGACCTTCAAAATCTAATTATTTGTGAATAACCTCGCATGCAAACCAAGTTCACATGAATACTCACTATTTTAATAAAGCAATATTGTTGTTGGCTAAAACTTATAGAGCATTATCGAGTCTATGAAACGTGTCTTAGATAAGAATTCCAGACCTCATTTTTTGCAATTCAATATTTCAACGATTACACCAGAATACCAGTAAAACAATCATACCTCTTGGTGTATAGATTACGGTCACGAATCTTATTAGGACTTTCTTAGGCTCACTGAGTTCCCTCCTAGCTAAAATATGAGACCGAACAGCGTCTAGTACTTGGATTTGATTTCTTATATGTCAATTAAATTCAGGCCATTCAGTTTTTATGCAATATATGAGTTTTTCAAAGATTTTCTCTGAATATACACAATTCTGTGAGGACGGCACGCATTTAGAGTGAATAAACGAGTTAAAATAGAAAAAACAATAATATCTGATTGTTTTTCATATTCATCGATTATCATGACGACGATTTTTTGAGTGTCAAGAATATCATGCGTATAATAGTGGACCAAATTGCGTTGCAATTTCGATTTTAAGCATTGAGGAACTTCGTGTTTATGAATGTCGATAACAGCTAGACCATGGAAAATTATTTCCCTGTTCCATTAGCCTAACGGTAACTCGACAGCCACATTGAAAATGAGCAGAATCAAAGAGAAAAACAACTGACTTATACAACTTTAAAGTTATTTAGATCATATAGATCATTTAAGTCATAAAGTCAGTTGTTTTTCCGTTTGAAAAAATGATCTTACTTTAGTAAAGATTTTATTGCTCAAATTGAAGAATGCAGTTCAAAAGTTTGTTTTTCATATCTAAGGTTTTGAAATTCAAGCAAAAAAAGTATTCTAAAGTTGAGGAAGCTTTTATTATTCAAAATAAATATGCCAACTCCAAAGTTTATTGTTGATATCGAACTTTAGGATATTCAAGCAAAAGAATCATCCTAAACTCAGTAAGTATATGATTAACTATTAAATCTAGACTTTGACTCGCATCTCCAAAGTTTGTTTTTCATATCCAACGTCAGAATTCTTAAGCTAAATGTATCTTAAAGTTGTTTATGATGTAGTTTTTTGCTTTCGAATTTTAGTTCATTGTTCTAGCTTTTCTTTCGTCTCGAAAATGAAGATTTGAATGTGAAAAGGTATTCTAATATTGCTAATTATCTATGCTTCGTGTTAAACATGGAACCAAAATCTCAATAGTTTTCTCTTTCTTCACCTAGATTTATGACATACTTATTTAGAGAATGTGATCATGAAACCAAAGAAAGTAAATAATCATTTAACTCACAATAAATAAATAAAAGATCAGCTAAATTGCGTTTTAACAAGTATGATAATTTTATACGCAACAAACAGTATCTTTCGATACGACTGAGGAAGGTTTTTGACATTATTAGGGTTCTCTTCCTATTTATTTATAAAATATTGTTATTCTTGACGTTTCGATCAATGAAATTGATCTTCTTCAGAAGTTCTCGAACAGTTCAAATGATTAAATACTGATAAAACAAATGTACATAACAGAGTAAAACATACAAAGTAGATAAAAGATTAAAAGACAATCAGATGATGAGTCATATATACTTGTCAAATCTATTGTTTCTTTTTCTTTTTCTTTATATATATATATATATTGGTACGGACAAGACGGTAGAGACTGGAATTCTGTTCTTCTATATTTAGTTGTCCGTACCAGTATATGAGTGAAGAGCACGCCAATTGTACCGTTTGGAGAAAAAATCGAAAAAAATAAATTTAATGATAAAGGAAAATTAAGTGTCGTATTTAATAGAGCTATGTCGAATATGTATAAAAATAATATTTTCCCAACACTTCCCTGTGCTGTGGTGGAGATTCACGATATTACAGCCAATTTATATATGCTACATCCATTTTCCAATAAACTTAGTGTATAAACTACTCCCATAAACACGTTGCTAGTAAAATTATTTTACGTGTTAAAATTTTTTTCCTTAGCACTTCACTTGATACTCAATGAAGTTTGTTTAAATAAAATTTGTTCCAATGGAATTTCGATGACTTTAACGTTGCCCTACACTTTTCACCACAGAAATCTCGCTCAACACTTTCTTAGTAAAACTGGATTTTCTTTCTAACGAAGAAAGATTTTTGTTTAATTTTTTGAGATATTACTCTACTTTATGAGATAAAAAAGGGTTAAATTTTTTGTTGCAAATGGTTTAGTTTTGGTTGAGTTATAGCAATAACAAAATTTAAAATCTCGCTCTACATATTGTGTGAATATAGCTTTTTTTGAACTTTGTATAAAAATTTTGTATTAACAAAGTATATGAAACGAAGTTCTTTTACTTGTCAAATTATTTTCCCCTTCTCTGTCTTTCATATTCGATCAAATTTGTTCCAATCAAATTTCTTGAAATTGAAAGCCGATGATTTTAATCTCGCTCTACACAAAAATCAAAGTGTCTTAAATTGTTGATAACCTTGCATTTATAGAACTTTATGTGAAGCAAAAAGTGATAACATATTCTGAAAACGCTTGAAGAGCTCTACAATTCTAGCTAAAAAAATAATTGAAAAAAGTTGCAATGGAATATAGAAAAATTGATCTTCTTCTTGGGGGTGACGTTAAAAGCTAGATATCTGACACTGTTGCTATGATTTCTCGTAAACTAAAAGAGATGGAAACTTAATTTTTTCAGAAGTGAATGGTCATCTCGTGTTCGAATACTTAAAAAAACATCATTTTAGCTCTTACAGAAAAAAATGAGATTGTTATGTCAGGAGATGTCTCTCCTGACATAAGGAGACTCCATGTTCTTATGATATCATTACTGCACTTCAATGGCATTTCTTATTCTTCCTCTCAATGGTATTTTCATGATGGAAGAAGAGAGAAAGAGAGAAACAACATTCTTTGCTGCTCTATTATTTTTGATTCATTCGCTTGTTTTGTTTTAAAAAGAGAGGAATAAGAATAATAAAGAAACGGGTAAAGGACCTAACAATTTGATGCACTAGCCGGTGTTGATTGTGCATATGATTTATGAAGAATTAGATAGATATCATTAAATCATTTAAACGCATTACCAACATTCAGTGGCAAACACAACGAAGACGCTGTTCCGTGGCTGAAAGACATTATAGCTGGATTGAATTAAACTGAACTTACTGATGATCAAAAAGTGTCAATTACATCGGGGTATCTAAACGGTGATGCGAGAAGATGGCTCCTCGAAAACTTGTTCGTATTGGATTCATGGCCAACATTTATTGAAGAATTCAAAAAAGTGTTTGCGCCAACATTACTGACGGAAGATGTTGTGCCTCAAGTAAACCAGTGTGTGCACGTCTTGGACGAAACGATGATGTATATTGATAATGGTATTAAACAGAAACACAAATGTGAATTGTTGAAAGAAAAGGAAGTAAATTTTGATTATTCTCAAATTACATTAGTTGAATTTAATAATATTGTCTTGCTCAATACGTGCATTGTGAATAGTGGTGAAAACAATTGTGAAATGCTTTGGTCTGATGGATGCGAATCATGGTTCATTCATGATGAATTACCACAGCGATGTCAATTTATTCGATCCACACAACAAGAAGTACCCTTTAACTCAACTTCAAATATTGATGATAATTTTTCTCAAAAATATTTATCGAATTGTATTAATGTCTCATCCTCAATAGTTCAACAAATGTCAAGCGCGATTTCTGATCTTTATTCTGAATTCTGTCAGGGCGATGCTATAATATTTTCGTTAAAACCAACTGAAATTTTTTCAAACGAGCAATTTCACTCAAATATTATTCCATTAGTTTCATCTGATATAACTCTACTCAGTTTTCTAGTTATTAGTATCGTATTTGGCAATCTTGATTCTTATTTAACATTTTATAATGATACTACGACTAGATATTTAGCTAATAATATGATATTTTATCACATGAATCACTTTGAATGGTTTCGAGCTTTAGCTGTACCTTTACAAAAGAATCTAATAACAGACTGCTGGTGAAATGATACTTCTCCCTGCACAAATGGAACGGGCCATTGGAATTCGAATACGGCATTTACAAAACTATTCGCATATCTTCATTTGTATTGACGCTCGCTTATCTTTTTATTGGAATTTGGATCAAAATCTAGCAAGCATGTCTGTACTTTTAATTCCATCACATTTTCTCACAATTCTTATCGTCTAAACTTCATCATTATTCTATTTTTTTCGTATGTACTTAACTTAAGATATGGTGGCTTTGTTCATTTTATCAAAGACTCAAGAAATTCTAAACATTTGGATTTCTTTCAACAACGTTTATTCATTACTTTCGTCAATTACACCAGTATTCTTAATAGGCCTATATAATCTTTGCTTCAACTGCGTGAAACAGTGTTTTCGTTTTCTATACAATTCTTGTGGTGGGGGGAAGTGTTATGTCAGGAGATGTCTCTCCTGACATAAGGAGACTCCATGTTCTTATGATATCATTACTGCACTTCAATGGCATTCTTATTCTTCCTCTCAATGGTATTTTCATGATGGAAGAAGAGAGAAAGAGAGAAACAACATTCTTTGCTGCTCTTTTATTTTTGATTCATTCGCTTGTTTTGTTTTAAAAAGAGAGGAATAAGAATAATAAAGAAACGGGTAAAGGACCTAACAGAGATAGGTTTACAATGTAAGGCTCTCGATAATATAAAAGGTAGTTTTTGGTAACTCAACCAAAAGTCACAGGATTGATGAAATTTCATCAAACTCATCTGAATACCACAGTTTTATGTGCTTGATTTAGATAATATACTTTTGTTGAGAAAAATATAATTAAAGATACATCAATCCTGAAATTAATAGTGAAAATGTCGTTTTTTGGGTTTTCTGAATTTTTTTGTTTTTTGCGATTTTCTCGACTCCGATGAGATCTGGAGATTTGAAGAATATATATTCTGAATCAGCGTGAAAAGCTCTATCGAGTGATGTATAATTCATTAAGTTTTGTTGTCTGCTCGAGTTTTGCATTACGTGCACCTAATATATGAAACTAATGTGCTTTTTTATAGTAAGACCAAGGAAATGATGTTTGTCAAGTGATATGTTCTTACTAGATTATTAGATTTTTTAGCTAGATTAAATGGTGGAAATCGTAGTTATATGTTATTATAACATTCGATCAGTGGATGCATTACCAAGAATTGATGTTTTATTGTTACTGCAATTATATTTGAAAGAGTCAATCCTCAGGTCTAATGTTAATTATTAAATAAAATAAAAAAGATTTTTGTTCTTTTTCTCGTTATGTGGTAATTTACCTATTAGGTCAATACTACATTATTTATTATTTAAAACAGCTTTCAACGATAATGTGTGAAATAATGTATAAAATAATTACTACAATGTAGCTGATGATGGTGGTCAGGCTGTCTCCTTGTAAATAACTAGCAATGAGACTAGTTTCCAGGTCAAACAGGCACGGTCGTAAACGGCCGTATACGGAGAAATACGGCAAAATACATGGCCCAGTATTACGGTCATATACGGAGAGAAAAACGGTCGTTTACGATGGTCGAATACAGAGTCCGTATACAATCTCCGTTTTGCCCCGTATACGGTCACAACGATATACGACCGTAATACTGGACCATGTAAAACGCTAAAATACGACCGTTTATGGTCGTAAAGGAAGCGTATACGGTCGTTTACAACAGTATACGAAGTCCGTAATCGTCGACCTGGGTTGTGACGCCTAAAATAAATTAATGAGTTAAATATGCGTACATTCGAACATCGATCTTCAAGTGTGTGCAGGATAATTTTCTACAAATGTCTCAGAACTTTTCTTATATGAAAATAACTGAATTTGGAATCGAAATCTTATTGTTACAGTATTTATCGAAGAATAACGAAAGTTAGTATAAAAAAATCAGAGAATGAATTTTCGTACGCTCTCTTAATCATCTTTCATGTTTCATTCCGTTGAGAATATGCCCACTATTTGTTCTTGATTATCAATGAGAAAATAATAAGAGAAAGAACGAACTAACTATAACCACAGGTTCAGAGCTAATTAATGTAAAGCTGATGACCTCATTGAAGAATTACTGGATGATTGCATATGAGATAATGCAGTCGTTCAAATACATGAAAAACAAGCTTTAGAAAACAATGATTTATTAAAACCCAGTACTGAATGTAGTGCAAAGCCGACTATATTTAGTAGGAATGTTACTTTTTATAGGCTTACCTTGAACAAGTACGACCAACACTGAACGAATAAATTTAGCTACTTGACGTTGCATTTGACGGCCTAGAAATATCAGACAAGAAAAGCAAAAAGGACAATTATTAAAGAAATAAAAATCCAAAATTTAACACATTAAGGAGAGTAAATGAATATGTCTGTGTCTGAAATAAGAATCACACGAATATAGGCGAAGGACTTTCACTTTCAATAATAGAAATACTGTGAAATTATAAACTCTTATAAATGATTTATAAGAGCATGTAACAGCACATCAAAAAAGTGCCTTATATGAAAACTTTTGACCTATAATTATTATCATCTTATTCGATTTTTGTTGAAAACATTTTTTTAAAAACTTTTCAAAGATTTTCACATTCTATGCTCATGCAGTTATGAACATATCAACATTAGATCTTTTGGAAACTGAAAAGAAAAAACAACTTTCAGTTATTCTGAATTCTTAAACGTATTATGAGATGTCTTTACATCAGACAACATTGACCAACATATCGAATTCAAAAATATGCGAACCCGCATCGAGTGATAATTTTACAAGTAATTAATCTTAGATATTTGGTTTTCTTGCGAAAATATTACAATTTTCACAATTCTTTACCTGATGTTCTCCATTTCAAACGTTGAAAACTAGCTGACCTTTGCAAAATTAAATACTTTACAATACTCAAGAATCAAATTTTCTATTACTTTTTAACGATCGTAAACAACGAAAATACCTATAGATTTGATAATTTTGAAGTATAAAAGATTTCGAAAACTTCAATACTCTACATAAAAACGACCAAATATCTAAGAAAAATTAAGTATAATTTCTGTCAAGAAAATCTTCCCAAAAAATATATGTTTTTTTTTTCGGTCACTTAATACTAATCAATTAAAATCAAAAGTAGTCAGTTAGATCCAGAATGTAATGCTACCTCTAGAGATGTACTCAGGGTTTTTTAAAACTTGATATTGAATCGTTGAAAGCAAATCTTTGATTAATACGAAAAATGACGTTTGTACACAATGTTTTAAATAATTCATTTTTGTATTTCGACTAGAAATGCGTCAATCCAAATGTTGGAACAGTGTTTTATACATCAGTTTGTAGAACGAAAGTTACTCTTCAAATGTCCGACTTTATTTTCAACATAGCATTGGAGATTATTGAAACCCCTTCCATTTTAAATGCAGGAAGTAAACAAAACGATTATTTTGTATAATCTCGTTTTCTGGAAAGAGTAGTATTTCGACAAATGTTTTTAGTATTTGATTCTTTTGAATTCTAGCTTATTAAAATCCGTGATTTTGTAAAACATGAAATACTTTACAACAATATGAAGCACAAGCTATTTCAAAATATCTAGTAGACGTAGGAAAATTAGAAATAAAAGAAAAAAGCCTATTTACATCGTACAAATTACATTTTTCATGGTTTGAGATATTTAGTTACAAGCAACTAGTTCTAGGTCAGATGAAATTTCTAAAAATATATTTAGAAAGAACAATGAATTCTGGTTTTACTTGACTGCTTTAGTTCCCCGGCAAATGTATTGCAAATCCAAAAAATCAGCAAACATATTTACCGAGACTGGAAATTAATTTTTTCTATAACCATTATCCTTGATTTCCATCATATGACTTAACTTCAAGTTAGAAAAGAAACTTCTGAATGTATACTTGGAGAGACTATCAAATGCAAGTTTCAACTAACTACTTCTGATTTAAGTACATGAATATTTTCAAATGAGATGTTATCCGACGTAATTTGACTTCAAATTTTTCTTCTATTTTTTCATTGTCTAATGTTCAAATGTCTATAGTTCCATGAGCATGTGGTAATAAGGTCCCAGAAAATTTTACAATAATATCTTTTCACATGTAATCAAATTAAATTTAAAACCTATACAAGCTAAAGTTTTTCTTCATGTGGTCCATCAGGTCGATGTTAGATTTTCTTAAGCATATTCTTAAGTTTCAAATATTACGAGAAAGCATAAGACCGTTGAGTATTCTGACCATACACTGAGTATTAGCACAAGAGTATATTCTGTAGTTTTGTGTATTCAATGTGTTGATATCTTAAAACATCGATAAAATATATTCACCTTCCGAAAGCATTAGCTCGAATAATTACTAAATATCAGCATTTCACTATAATAATATCTTTATCTTAAAAACCTACATTCTCCAAAAGCTGTGTTTGTTGTACGTTCAATGGACTATTTTAAGATTTTAATTATATCAAATATTGAGGTGATGTTTTCTCCATAAAACATAGGTTAAATAAAAGAATCTTTCTATGTTTTTGAAGCTGAAAAACAAAATGAAGGTATACTGCCTCTAGACTATTCAGTATAATGTGTGCTTTTAAATTTTAATTCATATTGAAGTAGTCTATTTTGTTCAGCTTCTAATTCTGTATTTTGAAATAATTAAAATCTTCTGACGATCCATGGAAAAGATAATGAGTACAAGTTTAGCAGGATATAGCTTTTTTTATAAATATATATTATAGTGGGGAAAGTTGATATTTAGCAGCTTTTCAAAGTCATATTTTCGGAGGATAAGTCTATTGTATCGATGCTCTTATGCATTAATACATTGAATGCACAAAAAAGTAGGTATTTTGTTTGATCGAAAGCTATTTAGGCTGAACCGTCTCATAGTACTTTATAAAAATATACTGGTGTACTTACTAACAGTAAGGTGTTGATCGATTTGATGTGTGCAGAGCGGACATAATCGTTCATACTCCCCAAATCTTAGAATTGGCGTCGTATAATCCAACAAAATATTTCTTGTAAGGGAGCAACCGACATTTCGATTAGTATATAAACGGCAACAGTTTGGCATTTTCGTACTAGTAATCAAAAAAAATTATCTAAAAGAAAATGAAGGTTTAGGATAACCTTCCTCCTTTTCAAAGGTTGGAAAAATCTCTTTTTCGAATTTTTATTGTCCATTGATATGCATTCTATGAAGTGCACCCTAATAATCTAAAAAAAAAGAAAATTTCATTTGCATAATATTTTGACCTGGAAGATAAGAAATTTCGAGACTATATATTAGAGGTCTGATGTTCGACTTTCTTTATTTTATTTCAAAATCAAAAATGTCCCCACACACACGTGCAGTAACACAGCTATATCTGCCCTTGTAAAGAAAAAAAAAGAATATATATATGTATATCTCGACTACCTAGATCAAGGGTCAAACTTAAGGTAAATAACAAAGAGTGATCAAGGTTATATAACATCGAGATAGATCTAACAACAAGAAAGAGATAGAAAAGAGAAAAAAGAAATAATATAGAAAAATAACAACAAGGAGGTGAACCCACTAACACTATTCCTTCCAAATGAAAAAACTAGAAAACGAGCTATTGTATCAATAAATCTTTGAAAATGATCCTCTTTATTTTCCAGTTCCCATTTCGTCAAAGCAATCAAAATTTATACGAAATTATCTGTTAATCATATTCTATTTGTAGTTCAAAAGAAATTTCTTCATGATTTTTTTAAAATAATTCTTAGTATATATCTTTTTCTTTATTTGTGTCACTTGAAAAAATGATGAAAACTATAAATTACTAGTTGTTTGTTTTGATATTTGAATAGTCTATATTTTGCTGACATTTATTAATATGTTACCGATAATTTGTCTCATCCACTTTTGTCTCTCTTCTGACTAAACTAAAATGAGTTAAAAGTTAATCATTTTACTACAAATGTTAATTAACAGGAGCAGCATTTTTTTTAAATATCAAGCCTATACTCACTCCTGAAGAAAGTGCCCTAAAAACTTTGTAAAAGATCAAGCAAGAAAAGGGAATTTTAGAAGACTAATAGTGACTTCGATTCTTTTTCCGACTCCTCCGTTTCAAATATCCCTTCAAATATCATATAATAGGATGCAAAGGAAAAAGAATGTTACCTAAAAGTAGAATTATAAATATATTACATAGACGTATGAAGCTACTCACGAGGGAACATCCCCAACTGCCCAATACCGATCGAGCTCATATTTTGGCCATGAGTAGTTCTCAGTGAGACTAGGAAAACACCAGAAGGATTCGTGCCCATGGCCTATTAGCCAAGAAATATGACCATTTTACTGAATTTCCAGCCTATCGGCAGGTATTCACCAGAAAGTCAAATTACAAGATTTCGATCTGAAATTTTGCCCAAAGATAGGCACAATAATCACTGAGATACCCTNAACGACATACTTGAAAATTTTTGCAAGATCATCAGGAGAACAATTCGAAAATCGATGTTGTTCATATAACGATTTAATAATCGTCTCATAGACAAAAATTTTTTTTTTTGAACATAAGAAGAAGTAATTTTGTTAATAATAAATGAACACTTATCCACGTCAGACATGTTTTCGATTTGGTCAATGAGCATTTTCTTATATTCTTTTACACCATTGTTCAACAAGTCTTCATCACCAAGCAGTCCAAAAAATTCTTGTATACAGAGTAAAATTGTTTTCTCTCTTGTCTGTAAAACTTGCCATAAAGACTCAAAATCTATAGATGATAGGTCACTATTTGTTATTTCTTCCATTAAGTCGCTCAGTTCCACATGATTCTCAGCAGGTTCTTTCTTAATATGTTCATCAACAGTGTGAACATTAACCCTGACAAATAGTGAAGGAGATGAAAATGACAATGAATCGAAGGTGACTGTCACATATGGACTATCTTCGTTCGTATCAGTAATTGAGCATACTAATAGTTGAATTTCAAATCCAAGCAGTACTTCTTCTTCTTCTGGGAGATCACTTTGATCAGAAATATCCACATATGGCCAATGTGAAGGCTCAACCGTATGTTCATCATTAAGATTAATTCTAAAGAGAACAGGTCTCTTATTTAGTGGTAATGATTGTCCTTCAGAAATGAATCGAAGTGCTACATTAGGATTGCGTGATGTCGAAGTGAATGTATTAATAAAAAAGGGTTTAAAAAATTCTAATGGGGTTGCCATTAATGTTTATAGCTCATTTTTGCTAAGATATTGACCACGATAAACAACTGAAATTCTTTTTTCGGGCTTTCGTTAAGTCGTTAATATATCGTTATAAAATCTCTTGTATAATATTGCATTGAGATCAACAATAAACATTTGGCATTTAAACATTAAATCAAATTGTCCTGTTCTTAATGCTTTATTAACGATTGTATGAAAACAACTGTCTTTAGTATAGTATTTAATAACTTGATCTGATGTATAATTATCTTCAAATTCTTGTATTTTCTCCGACAAAGCTCTATTTTTTTGATAATATCAGCGAAATTGATGGATAAACTCTTGTCGTACTTCTTTAGTAGGAGGAAGATTTGCTATAATTGCATTAATTAAATGATAAAAAGTATCCGATTGATTATATGCGCGCCGAAAGGTTTGTTTATAAAATGGCCATCGGTCACAATATACTCTTATATCAGTACTTAGTGTTTTAACTAATTTATCAGTAGCATTGAAAACTCCTCGAATATTGATTTGTCTGTCAGATAATGATTTTTCGTAAGTGGTTTGTTCATAACAACGTATGTAAATACAACTAATGTGAGAAGTAGCAATTCGATGTAGATATCTTTGTGCAAATGAACCAGAAATTATGAAAAATATGGTGGAGTTATCGTTTAACGAGTCGATCGTTGGTAAGCATTTTTCAATATAATTAAATGTGTCGATCGATTTCGTAGTGGCCTCTAGTGCTTTCAACGTTTTTTGAAAATCTGCTGATTTTTATATTTGTTCGTCGGCTCAAATAACTCTATAATCTACAAGATTATTTCAAAATTTCAACGATAATGAAAAGGCAGTATCTTAATTAAAATCACGAATTTGTTGTATTTTGATATCATCCATTACTTTTAGACAAATGGAATATTCACGTTCGTTTTAAGTTTGCTTTGTTAATATTGCATTAGATAAATTTAGTATTCTTCATCAATTATTCTCATTGATCCTTTTGATGGAAGCTTCCATGCAAGCATTCAAATTCTATTGATATTTGATACTGTACAAATTTATAATGACACTCAATCCTTTACTACGCTGATATACTGTAAAATACACTTCTGTCATTAAGCTTTCTTTTTCTTTTCTAATGACTATTTGAGTCATGGAAGGAAAAATAAGAACAGAATAAGAGGAGAAAGCTCAAGCCAATAAAAGAAGAGAACGAAGTCATTTGCTCTAATGAAAATTACATGGTTCACACAGAAGAACTGAAAATATCATTTAATGTGTTACATTCTCTTAAATAAAATTCATATAATATTAAACTGCACTTACTATGTCGTTCATGTACCGGGTAGGCCAAAAATAACAGGACCAATAATTTTTTCGATTTTGTTTTTCTTTATGCATTGACAGTTATATCTCATATTTAGGGTGTGGGTGTGGGTGTGCTCTAAAAAAAAAAGGTGTCATAGTGAACCTTTTCTCGGTAACATTTTAAGAACCTTTTTTAGTTCAAGCTAGAAAGTCTAGAACTGAAAATGGTTTTAGCCAGCAAGGCGGAACTAGAACAGGTTCTAGCCAAACAGTCTAGAACCTTAAAAAAGGTTCTTAAAATGATACCCAAATCTAGAACCATAAAAGGTTCAAGATCGTCGCTAGAATCTTTTATAGTATCCTATTGCACCTTTTTTTTTTAGAGAGTGGGTGTGGATGTGGGTGTGGGTGTGGGTGTAGATGAGAAGAAGACTCACATCCATCCACGCCCCACATCCACACTCACCATTACACGCACACATACCCACAGCCACACACCCACATCCACACCGCCACCCACATCCGCACACCAACACCCACACCCACACCCACACCCACACCCAAACCCACACCCACGCCCACACCCCACCCTCGAGTTCATTGGACGAATACATGGTGAACAAGTGTATTGCTCGAAGTAAGAAATTATTCCTTTATTTTTTGGATATATCTTACATATTTTTTACCTTTTGTCTTCGTAGCAATCAACTTGGCACCTAAGGCATCACCAGTTCAACATAAAAATGTACAAGCTTCAAGTTATTGTAACGGTTCAGGAACATCTAAAGCCGTTACTTACAAAACAAAGGATAAGAAAAATTGTAAATCTCGTGAACAGGAAATCAGTAAATGTACGCAAATAAATGACTTATCGTAAGGCTTATATTTTTTCTTTGAATAACTAGCTATGCTTGAGAAAGACGATGACATGCACCATTCGAAGGAAGTATCGAATACTACAATGTCAGTCTTGTAATCCAGCACAATTATCAACATCGAATACTTTTGTTGCACGAAATGTGTCTAATCAAGTATTGACACAGAAATCTTCTAAACTTAAGACAAGATTGCTTTTTTTGTATTATTTTTATATCTAATGATTGTATCATCATCTATTTCAGAAGGTCATTTTGATGCTTCTTCTCGTAGTTCACCGAATTACGAGATGGATTTTGAAACATTGGATTCTAATAAGAAACAAAGTACGATGCGACAGAATAAGGGTAAAATAAATCATCTTAGATATAATCTACTGTAATTTTTGTTTGACATTCTATTGTTAATAGGCAATGAAGATGCGAATATAGCTGTTGGGTATTCAAGTTAGTTGATAAATTAGCCATCTTTCATATTATGATAAGTGGAACTTGTTTCTCTTTTTTTTAACTAGGCAATGATGAGTTTTTGTATTTGTCTAATGACAAATATGATGATGATGATGATGATGATGATTGCGGCATATTGCAGGATTCTGAAGCTGACCAAACTACAACAACTATTGGTAAATCTGGTGAAAAACAAGTGAAAAAATGTGAAACATATGATGAGTTACTAGTCAAGTACAAAAAGTTATCTGATAAATATGAAATTTTGAAAAATAAAGTTGCAGCTTTACAAAAACAAAACGAAATGTTAAATGCGACGATGTTACGTATGTGATGAATTAATTCTTCTTTCTATTTAACAAGATATATCATCATGCGTCCTTCTTTTTAGCTATGCCTCCACCTGAAATTCAACAATGGTTTGCGCATACTGCACAACGGTTTGAGAACAAACCATTATCAGGAACTGTTCTTAAAGATTTCAGTAGAGTATTGAAATTACCAGTCAATGTATTAATATCATTGAAACAAAATACTGGAACTCTTACTGCACGATCTGTTGTTCGTCATTTATTTCTATCTAAAAGTCGTACAACTGATGACATGACTGACGACATTCGTCAATCGATTCTTGGTAAAGACAAATTTTATTTATATTTAATTTTAAAATGAATAGTTCTATTCTTCTTCAGATTTTGTGAAATACTCTCATCCGAATGAATTATTTTTTCGAGGAAAAATCAATGAAGCTATTAATGGTCCATTCAGAACAGCCAAGTTTAAGGCATTACATTCAGCAAATGTTTAATATGCCTCATGAAACAATAATCCTCGTTTGAAGCAATACAAGAATATTAGTTCCAGTTGCAACAGAGATACTATTCAAACTCTATTACTTTCAGCATTTATGAAAAGATTTTCTGTTTTTTCATGATGCCATTGTAATTGTTGCGTCTTCAAAAACCAAAAACTAAAACAAAAGAATAAAATAGCTACATTTTAATAATTCTAGTTACGGAATATTGTTGCAAAGTTATCTATATCTGTCTATGCATGATATATGTTGAGTTGATATGCTAAAATATCGTTGAAACTACTCAGTTTTAGATAAAATTTTAGATATGTGGTCTACTAGTACTATCCAAAGAAGACGAAAGAGATTAAAGAAAAACTTATATCTGTTTGACAATACTTTTCAGTGTCAAGCTAGTGAAGAAGTATTATCAATGGGTATATTGTGGTCTCAATTAATTTGATTCTATATACATTGCTCAAGCTATTTTGTATTTAGTTATAGAACAAAATGAACCAGTAAATGAAGTAGATGCCAACATCGAGACTCATTCGTTATATGAATTAGAGTATGAAGTTTCAATTCTTTCTTTCATCATCAACAATTGAATAAATTTTCTTTTAGCAATTATCAAAATATGGAGAGCAATTCAGAATGGATCGATGAGAATGTATCGGAAGAAATATTTGAAGAACAGTAATTAAAAAGGCTTTTTCAATTTCTAAACTTTACTGCAAGCAGGCTAGTGCTGATACAAGAATTGAGTTGAGCTTTCCATGTTATAATTAATTATCAAAGTAGTTGCAATCGATGTTTTGGGGCATATATAATATTGTTTATTATATTATTATCAATTACTTTTGTTTCTCATATTGCTTTAGAACAGAATATGAACGATTGAAGTTTATCAAGAGAAATATGACGAAGCTGGAAATAGCTACTGCTTTAATTATCCTCAAGTTACGCCACAAATTGACAACGAAGGCAATATCTGATATTTGCCTATTTCTACGTTTATTTCGTGTGCCGAATGCTCCCAAAAGTTATGCAGCTGTGAAGCGTGTTTTGGAACGGAAGGCAACAAAAAATATTACATCAGATATATTCCAAATTTGTCAGAATTGCAATAAGATTTATCAAAATGTATGTGATAATACACAATGCCACTCAGATGTTTCTCAAGCGCAAGCTCCTGCTTTTCTTAAATTTCAAATTAAAGATCAAATTCAATCAATTTTAGCATCTGAAAATAATTTTACTTTACATTCTTCGTCATCTTCATGTTATAATAATTGCATTACTGATATTCAACATGCTAATTGGTATCAGTCTATTGCTTTAAATGAAAATACATCGAATTTTATTACATTATCTTTAAATGTCGATGGGATATCTATGTCTGATAGTTCAGATAATAGTCTTTGGATATTCACTGTAAGCTGACTATAAGTTTTCATTTCTATTAACACGTTTGTGATATGTTTCATTTTCTAGTTCATAATAAATGAGATCAATAGAACTCATCGTTATAAACTACAAAATTGTATATTTGGTGGTATATGGCCAGAACCGAAGAAGCCTAGTAGAGAGCAAACATATGCTATGCTAAAATCGATGACAGATGAATTGCAACTTCTAGAAAACGAAAATGTCCTCACCATTAAAGCCCTAGGAAATCAAACAGTGAAGCTCAGAGTGTTTCTCATTGGAGCGACCTGTGACAAGCCTGCACAGGCTATCGTTCAAAACATAGCCGAGCCTATCGGCGAATTCGGTTGTGGTCGTTGTGAGATCCCTGGTAGGAATCATTCTATAAATTGGAGAAGTATAATAATTTTTGTTTCATTCAAACTAATTGTAATTTTGTAATATTTTCATGCACAGCTTAGGCATTCCTCTAGTAGCTTTGTTGTTCACTAACAGTAACAGTATAATAAGTGTAATGAGAGGTATCTCCTCTATTTTGAATTTCTTGAAAGTACAGGACTAATATTTCCTGTCGACCATGATAAAAGAAAAGAGAGATTGAACACAAGAATGAGACAGGTTGGAATTCTGTCCTATGGAATCTATTAGATTTGTATTTTCACAAAATTCTGTGACTTCTAATTTCATCGTTTAAATGTTTAACAAGTTGCCTTTGTCAGAATTTTTAACCTTTTTGCTTGTCTAAGATTATAATATTAAAACAGGTTGCTGTTATCAATAAGATTTTTTGAAATTTTTTTATTTCAAAATGCTTGTCAATAAGTAATTGTGAAATACATTGAGGTGTAACATTCTAACCTATTAATATGGGAGATGTTTTGCTGCTTTTTAGCTCTCAAGTTTTCATTAGTTCAACTAAAAGCCTGTATAATTATGATTTTGATGCATTCCATTGCTAGATGAAATCTATTGGTCAGAATCCATAGTTCAGATTACTTCAAATTATACCTGTTAATTAAGTGTTAGAAAATGTTGTTTTAAAGAAGCATAGAGAGAGATTTATCTTATAGCTTTCTAACATTATCAAGTGACAAAATATCTTTTACTGGCTTACCGATATTCTAGTTGGTTATAGGTTAATTTGATACTTTTATTTCTCTTTTAGGCATCACCGTTCCTAGTCGTGATGGTATCAAGCATCATATACGGGTTTTTCCGTTATCTTCAGAATCTCGTAATGAACCAGAATGTCGATCAAACAAGAACTATGACAGAATTATGGCATTGAAAAATGCAACTGATGAACAAAGAAAAGGATATTTGGGTCCATGTGCATTACGGTCATTGAAATATTTCTATGTGGGCAAGTCATTTCTCACAGACTCACTCCACAATCTTTATAGTGGTGTAATGGTGAGTAAATTTTTATCTTAGTTAATTAGAGCACCTAGCAATGTTCAGCGACCATATTCGATGATTTTTCAGTGTCACAATCAATAGTACTTAGTTGGGGGATAATTCATCTTGAATTAGTTAAAGAAAGTCACTATAATTCTTTATTTTCTCCACTTATGTAGGTTTCTTGAAAGATATATCTCTTGAAATAAAAAATAGAATTATTCGATGCATGAAACCGAATTTCATTTCATTTTTTTTATTAAGAAAAAACTACTTAAGTTGTGATTTTCTGACGATTACAAATGGTCGAATTGGTCCAGTTTCACAAAATTTGATATTGTTAGTGAAAAGCTAAGCCAATATCGATATCCATCAACAACCAGCAGAACTCCAAGACCAATCGTTCAATTTCATCGGTTCAAAGCAAATGAATTTCGTTTGATTTTCCTTTTTGCTGCACCAGTATTAAAACATTATTTAAAACCAGTCGTTTTCAAAAATTATCTATTGTTGGTGTTTGCATTGCATCTCGCCGAGTCTCGTTCACTTCAATATGAAGATATTGATCATATTCGTTTTTTATTAGGTAAGATAAGCTATTTATTTATGAATTAGTCGAATAACGGAAAATTGAAGTTCATTGATCAATTTTCAAAATTTATGTCCGAAAAATTTGCTAATACTGCAGACTTCTGTTTCGTTCACTGGTCACTTTAATGAGACGTTCAAAACACAAAAAAATAATTGTTGTTATTTTATACATAGCCTTTCTCACGTCTTTTAGTCAGCGAAGAATAGAAGTAAAACAACAACAATTGTACCTAAACTTTTCACATTAAAGAATGATCTTATATCCAGCATTTAAGTTGATAAAGAAGTAAAAATCAATTCGAGATTTGAACAAGTTTTATCCAAATAACTTTCAAAAAAAAATTAATAGACTCCTATTTTTCGTTGTTCGCTTGATCAAATGTCTTTCTACATCAGTAAAAAGTGTATTTGAACATATCATATTTTAGATACTTTTTTACATGAATATCCATCGTTGTATACTAATCGACATAATCAACAAGTCATACACAGTGTTCATCATGTTGCACAAAGCGTGCAGGACTACGGACAGTTATCAAACTATTCAACATTTAATTTTGAATCTGTTCTAGGTAACGAAATGTTTTTATATTTTCTTTTACTATCTTTTGGTGAATTTTAGGGATGCTACGTTCAACTGTTCATAGTACAAAACATCATGCCGAAGAAATAGCTAATACAATGAACCTTCTTCATTTGGCTATTCACAATACTCTTTCAGACGACTTCAATAATGAGCTTAGAGAGATATTGGAAGAAGTTCAAGCAAAAAAACGAGTTTCGAAAACTGCTTCATCCATGTTTCTAACCAAAAATTACACAATTAAAGTTCGAAGGAAACAAATAATTGAAGAACATCAGTACAAAAATATTCAGGAAATGTTCCAAAAATGACGATGTCAAACTTTATCACATCGCCTTTATCGGCACAACAAGATTTACAACAAAAGATTTTGCAAAAACAAAAAAAAATAATGATTCTTGTATTATTTATCGATTTAAAGCTGAACTTCATATTGGTTTTATCAATTTTATTGTACTTATTGATCAAAAAGTTTTTTGTAACGTCAAAAAGGTTACAATCAAAGACAACTTAAATTGCACGTATACAGCCCGAAAATTTCAATGCAAAAATATAAGTTATGGTGGTATCAACAAGGAAGAAAGCGAAGTGTTCATTAAAGCGGACGATGTAATTGAAAAATTAGTATATTATCAAGAAACATGTAACTTTTTTTTCTTTTTTCGTTTTCCAACTTTAATTGAAAGTTCATAAATAAAATGCTAAAATAATTTTGCGTCAATGATGCACCTTTCAATGGAAAAACAGGTTTGTGATCTAAAAATACTCAGTAAGTATTCATTTAAAAGAAAAAGTTACAAATAAACTTGAGAATCTAATTATAGATTATCATTATTGAATACTATTTTTTGTTTCTTGAAATTATTTAATACGGAGACTCCCTAGGGAAAATCTTTGATGTTTCAGCCCCGGATCCTTGGAAGACAGGATCAAGATCCTGCAAGGATTCGATGTTTTTTCCTGAGGAAACGACTAAATCCTGAAAGAAGCGTGTAGCCACGGAATTGCAGGATCCTGTCAAGATTTATAACAAGTTTATCAAGGATCCTGGCAAGTTTATCACTGTTTTTG